TCGGGGGCACGCTGCGGCAGAGCGGGCGGCGGAGACGCGCAGTCGCTTCGCGGTGCGGCCGACGACGCGGCTCCGGACGAGCCCGACTGCGGCCGCGGCGGCTGCGGCGGCTCGGGGGTGACGGCGCGCTCCGCCGGCGCGCGCCTCAGCCCAGCCTGCACAAGTGCCGGGTTCGGGTACCGTGGGGGTAGGGGAGTGTGGGTTCGGGTACCGTGGGGAAAGGGATGGGTTCGGGTATCGTGTGGGTAGGGGATGAGTCCGCCTTTCGCTCGAGCTCGCGCTTAAGCGAGTGGAGGCGCGGGACGACCGCCTTGAGCAGCTCTGCGGGCATGCGCACCTAATTAGCTCTGAATTCGCTCTGAATTCTCTTAATTGACCGCCTAAAGCAGCTCGGCGGGCATGCGCACCGCTGCGGCCTTGACCGGCGCCTCGGCCGCGAAGTCGATCGGCACGGCGCCGACGGCCTTGATCAGGCCCATCAGCTGCGGGACCAGCCTCTCTACGCATGCCATGGCGCGCGCCGCCTCGGCCTCCGCCTCCGCGTCCCCGCCGGAGCAGCGCTCTGCCTAGAAGGTTCCTAGAAGGCTCCTAGAAGGTTCCTCCGCCTCCGCGTCCCCGCCGGAGCAGCGCTCTGCCGCCGCCGGTGTGCCGAGCGAGACGACGAGCTCCTCGAAGCGACGAAACTCGACGCGGAGGGTCGCGACAGTCACCTGAGGAAGGTTCCGAGAAGCTTCGGGGGGAGGAGGGCCGCCACGCCTCCCACGGCAACGGCGCCATCCGCAGCCTGCAGCTGCGCGTAGGTGCTCGCAAAGGCCGACGTCTCCGCCGCCGCCCGCACCTCCGCAAACTCCTGCCTCGCGATCCAGCGGCGGAGCAGCTCGGCGCAGCCGTCGCACAGTCGCGCCGGAGGGCCCTGTCTCGCCCCGCCGCCGCCGCCGCCGCCGCCGCCGCTACCGCCGCCGCTACCGCCGCCGCTGCTGCTGCTGCCGGGCAGCGGCCACGGGCGCTTGGACGAGCACGAGGCGCAAACGACCTAGGAAGTGTCCAGGAGGTGTCCAGGAAGTGTCCAGGAAGGCGCTTGGACGAGCACGAGGCGCAGACGACCTTTGCGCACAGGCGGCACTGCTTGCGGCTGCGGGAGGTGAGGCCGCTGATGCCTCCGAAGACCTCGGAGGGGAGGGGCTTGCGGCACCTAGAAGGTTCCTAGCAGGTTCCTAGAAGGTTCCTAGAAGGTTCCTAGAAGGTTCCTAGAAGACCTCGGAGGTGAGGGGCTTGCGGTACCTTAGAGGGCTAGGGGCTTAGAGGGCAGGCCGAGGCACGGGCTTAGGCCGAGGCAGGGCTCAGAGCCTCGGGAGGGGGGGGGGGGGAGCACGAGGCGAGGCGTTGCGTCTATGACGTGTCTCTAGGGTGTTGTCTATGACGTGTCTCTGGGTGTTGTCTAGGACGTGTCTCTAGGGTGCTCGCACGAGGCGAGGCCGCAGACGGAGGCGGCGGCGACGCGCCGCTCGTCGGGGTGGTCCTCGAGCACGCCGGCCAACTGCCGGGGGGAGGGAGGGGGAGGGGAGGGTGGGGACGAGAGGGGAGCTGGTGGTGTGTGGGTGTGTATGGGTGGGTCCGGAAGGCGTGTGTCGCAGGAGCCGGACTCGGGAGGCGTCCAGGATGTGTCTGGAGGTGTCTAGGAGGTGTCTGGAGGTGTCTGGAGGTGTCTGGGAGGTGTCTGGGGGGTGTCTGGGGGGTGTCTGGAGGTGTCTGGAGGTGTCTGGAGGTGTCTGGGAGGTGGCTGGGAGGCGTCTGGGAAGTGTCTGGGAAGTGTCCACGAAGTCGCCTCTCTGAGCCGGACCCCCTCCTTGCCGCTCACGCTAAGCGAGGCGTAGCCGCGCGCCGCCGCCTCCACGCGCGCCTCCGCCTCCGCCGCGTGCGGCGCGCGCTTCGCCAGGAAGAGCTCCGTTCGGTCCCGCGCTACGACAGGGTGCGCGGGCGGCGCGGGCGGCGCCAGCGCCACGGGCGGAGGCTCGCGGCCGGGGTCGGCGTAGCGAGAGCCGGCGTCGACCACCTTGAGGACCTTGGTCACGTCGGCCGCGGTGTGCGCGCGGCCCGACGCGGCGAAGCAGCCTCCGCACACGCGGCAGAGCTCGCCGCCGTCGGATGGTTGTGCGTCCGGCCCGAGCCGCATGCGGAAGGCCGAGTGCTCGGCGCAGAAGACGAGGCCGCAGCGGCGGCAGTGGTGGCGGCGCACCCTCCACGAGTCGAACTGCCGGCCGCAGTCGGGCTGAGCGCAGTGCGTCGTCTTTGCGTCCGAGATCCAGTGCGCTCGAGTCACCGTAGACGGCGCGGCGGACTGCGGTGCCACCGAGCCCGCCGTGGAGATGGTGGAGGAGAGGCTGCTGGCCGCGGTGGAGGCTCGGCTGGCGGCGGAGGAGAGGTAGTCGTACATATGCGAACGATGTAGTGGCAGCAAAGTGGGCGTCCACCGCTCTCACCCTGCAGGCCCGCGCGCGCGCTAGAGCAGTCCAGGCTGGGGAACGTAAAAGAATTCCAGCCCGCCAAAATTCTGCCTCTCGATGCCCGCGAACCCTCTTCCACGCAACGGCGCTTGCTGATGCCCGCCCGTTCTCGCGCGCAGCTCGAAGTGCCTCGGGTACGAGTACGCCGAGGTCGGCAGCTATCGCCGGTGCGCTGCAAGCACTGCACTGGGGCCAAGCTCGCACCGCGCGCACGCAGCCTTGCCCGCACGCGCGGCTCTTGTGAGACTAGGTGCGAGCTGCACGCTGCGACGCTCGTCGCCACAGCGCCCGGAGTGAAGGGCTACGTGTGCTGGACCAAGCAGACTCCAGCGCGTCCCTGAGAGAAAGAAAACACGGCGGGCCCGCTCCTACTCGCCATATTGCGTCTCGGTTTCTCGTTTCTTGTGGTAAAGATACACCGTCCTCTGACATGGTGGAATGCCGACGCGGCCCTGCTGCGGAGGCGGCTCTGCGGTGGCGGCGTGGCGGCGGCGGAATCAATCGCCATGAACGCCGTCAGCCCCAGCTTGCTCGCTGACCTGCGCCGGGGCGACCTGACCTCGCTGCGCGCCATCCTGTTTGGGCGGACGCGCGGCCCGGCGCTCACGGCCCTGCTCGACGCGCGGCTCGAGGCTGAGAGCCAGTTCACGCTGCTGACCTACGCCGCTTGGCACGGGCATGCCGACGCGGTGCGGCTGCTGCTCGAGAGCGGTGCGAGCGTGGGGGCGACGGCTGGCGGCGGCTGCTCCGCGCTGTTCGCCGCGTGCCAAGAGGGCCAGCTCGATTGCGTTCGGCTGCTCCTCGGCGCCAGCGCGGCGGTCAACCAAGCCGACGGTGGCGGCGCCACGCCGCTGTACATCGCTTGCCAGAAGGGCCACCTCGAGTGCGCCCAGCTGCTCCTCGAGGCCAGCGCGGCGGTCGACCAAGCCAAGAACAACGGTGCCACGCCGCTGTACATCGCGTGCTGGAAGGGCCAGCTCGAGATCGTTCAGCTGCTCCTCGAGGCTGACGCGGCGGTCGACCAGGCCGAGAATGGCGGCGCCACGCCGCTGTACATCGCGTGCCAGCAGGGCCACCTCGAGTGCGTCCAGCTGATCCTCGGCGCCAGCGCGGCGGTTGACCAGGCCAAGAATGACGGCACCACGCCGCTGAGCGTTGCGAGCCACGCTGGCCAGATTGATTGCGTCCGTCTGATGCTCGCCGCCGGCGCTGCGGTGAACCAAGCAGACACTGACGGCTTCACACCGCTGGTCGTCGCGTGCCAGGAGGGCCAGCTCGAGTGCGCCCAGCTGCTTCTCGAGGCGCGTGCGGCAGTCAACCAAGCCGAGGAGAATGGCGCCACGCCGCTGTACGTCACGTGCCAGCAGGGCCACCTTGAGTGCGCCCAGCTGCTCCTCGGCGCCGGCGCGGCGGTCAACCAAGCCAAGGACGACGGCGCCACGCCGCTGTTCACTGCCTGCGAGAAGGGCCACTTCGAGTGCGTTCGGCTGCTCCTCGGCGCCGACGCGGCAGTAAACCAAGCCAGGAATAGCGGCTGGACGCCGCTGATCAACGCGTGCTCCCATGGCCACCCCAACGTCGTGCGCTGCCTGCTGCGGGCGGGCGCGGCGGTCAACCAAGCCGCAGACCATGGTGTCACGCCGCTGTTCATCGCGTGCCAGAACGGCCAGCTCGAGTGTGCCCAGCTGCTTCTCGGCGCCAGCGCGGCGGTCAACCAAGCCGCGGACGACGGCGCCACGCCGCTGTTCATGGCGTGCTGGAAGGGCCACCTCGAGTGCATTTGGCTGCTCCTCGATGCCAGCGCGGCGGTCAACCAAGCCAAGGCGGACGGCGCCACGCCGCTGTTCGTCGCGTGCCAGAAGGGCCACCTCGAGTGCGTGCGGCTGCTCCTCGAGGCCAGCGCGGCCGTCAACCAAGCCAGGGAGGACGGCGCCACGCCGCTGCACATTGCGTGCCACCAGGGCCACCCCTCCATCGTGCTCTGCCTGCTGCGGGCGGGCGCTGACACAGCGGCGCGCACTCCGGACGGTCGAACGGCGCTGCAGCTGGCCAAGGAGAAGGGCCACACCGAGTGTGAGCGCGCCTTTGAGGCGGCGGCGAGGGAGCCAAAAGAGCGGAGATTTGAGCCAAGGTGG